TCACCACTGACAGCAGCAGGTGTAGGTTTAACGGGATTTGTAAAGTGTCTGGCCACGGTGTTAAACACAAGGCTGGGTGTCGAAGGGAGGGAGAGGAGGTTGGGGTTGGTTTTTCTCTTCTTCTTCTTCTTCTTCTTTTCCTCTCTAAACTGTGACTCTCCATCCAAACCAACCATCCATCCAACCATCGGGCCCTGCTTCTTCTAATTAGGTCCGTGGTGATTTCAGCCTCCAGAGATGTTTTACGGTGCAATTAAGGACGCTCTGATGATAAGGTATGAATATTCAGCAGAGTGACAATTAATTAGCAGACAGAGGGCTCTCACTACAATCTCCTCAGCGGCGTTTTTTCAGCCCACATGACGGCGCGTCGGCGCTTTTTAAAGGCCGTCTGCGCGCACGCTGCTTGGACCACTGCTGGATGAGAACGTCTGAGCTGGAAGTCTGTGTAATCACGGACTCCACCGCAGCATTGTGTTGTTGTTGTTGTTTATTTTGTCAAACTGTGGGATTATTAAAGCCTTCAGCTGCACAGCCCACTCCATTAGACATCACAGGGAGCAGGGCTATACCTGCGAGAAGACCTCAGGGCATTTGCAACATATGCTCGGATTATGCTTAATGGTCCAATTACATAAATTAGGCCTTCATTATACGGCACATCATCTGTAACATACATCTCAATTGAGCGGAGGCGGGAACGTCTAATTTAATTTGTCTGCCAGGAGTTTTATCCAATCAACCACTGAAAAGAATGAGAGAGAATAAATTCACACTGACCACTGCCGACTCACAGAGGGATCTTTTTTAATTTTAGTCCAACAGTTACACCCTGTGATCACCAGATGAGAAGGCTCTTTAATGATCAAGGCTGGTGGTCATAACGAAGTGTATGATTTGCAGTTAGCGTTTACCAATTAGTGGGTCCTGGCCCAAAGTGTGTTCCAGAGCCTTTTTAATTGGGTCACAGATGAGAGAAAAACATCTGCTAATTGTGTACCAACTAATGGATTTATCAATTTGACTATGAGAAGATTACCTGATTTTTTTTTTGTCCATCACTACAAAATGAAAAGTAATAAAAATAGAGATATTAATCCAAAATTAGGAGTATGGCCCTATTGTTTGGATCACACTAGAGCTGTCACAAAACAAACCTTTTGGAAAGATGCCTTTTGCCTCTATATATATAAATGCTCAAAATACCCCTACAAATGCAATACAACATCGACCTGTTTTGTGTGGACGTTTTATCACTAAAACAATATAATTAGATGCAACTAAAAGGAACATACTATTCTGCCTGTACACATGCAAGAAAAGTTGTGTTTTTTTACTTTTGTTTACATGCCTTCCCATGACTTAGTTTCTGTGTTTATTTCAACAGAACCAGTACATTTTTCTCATGCTATAAAATAATCTACATCTTTAATATGTTTATAATCATGACTGAATACTTATTATATATACAGTATCTAAATGAATATGTGTGTCATATTAAGCTGGATATTCTGTGTATGTGTGTGTTTTGACATAACTGTAGTCTTCTGGTTAACTGGAGGTCAGAGATGTGAATTGCATTTAGGTTAAGGTTAGGGTTAAGCAATAACTAGTAATGGTTAGGGTTAGGGTTGAAGTTGTGGTTAGGCTGGAGAAATGCATGGGATTCAATGGAAGATCCCAAAAGGAATAGCTGCTCAACTCTGTTTATGTGTGTGTGTGTGTGTGTGTTAGAGAGAGAGAGAGAAAGAGAAAAGAGGGCCGTCCCAGTTCATTGACTCCATATGGTGAGAAACAGCAGGACTGATGAGTGTACTACCTGAGGTCCATGTCTGTGCTGTCATCTGTAACCAAAACGTCGGCCCCTGACCCCCTGCATAATTCATTACAGACAAAGACAGTGTCGCTCACATGGACTCTCATTTCTTCATTTAGCTTTTGCTGACAGATGACTAGTATCATAACAACACATCAACATGTTCAACTTCACATGATACCGAGCCGGCTGAC